AGTGTCGTTTGCCGCATTCGCGCATTCTTGCCGCAAAACGTAATGCCTAAAACTTCATGGCGCTCCTTTCTCCAGTATGGAGAATTCAATTGCAATCAATTGTTTTAAAATTCAAACCGATATGGTGGATTGTAGATGCATATATTTGTATGTGTGCAATAGGCTTAGCTGAATGATGTGTGATTTAAACTTGATTGTGGCTGAAGGGGTACGATTATGAAGCTCGTATGTGGGAAAACATTTTAATGCCTAAATAAACTTTTTTGTAAAAAAGAAAAAACAGTTTGTTTTATTTATCAGATATTTGGTGACATTTATGAAACAAAGAAGTTTTGTTAGGTTTCCGAAACCGAGCATCCATTAAATCAAAACAAAGATAAGGTAAAGAATTCCGAATTTCCTACTTTTTAGAATTTCATTCCACTAGTTCTCTATTATTTTTTAGACAACATGGTACGAAAGGGGTGCAGAGGATTCCTGGTCATAAGTGGGCGTGGCAACATCCACTTTTAGATGAAATTGTATATCTTAGGAACTACCCGACTAATTCAAACCAATGTTTAATACAATCCGCACAATCTTATGTTACGTTTCAAAAATGGATCAACACGGTCTACAGCAGCGCTTACTTTCCTTAAAATACAACTTTCAATTACATATGACTCACTTCGTAGTATTAAGTAACGAAGGCATCGCAATAAAACTTTATTTCGAAAAAATCGCAAAATTTTTGAGAAATATTATTAAACGCCATAGAGAATCTTTTTCTGATAATAATACACCCTTGTGTCGAAAATAAGGTCATTCATAATTTTCTCGTATAGCGTAAACAATTTTAGAATTTATATGTTTTTCAAAACTTTCGAGTCTAAAAATTTTCAAAATCGAACCAAAACAGCTCAACACACCACACTCAACCTATTACTAAAATTCGGGGAAAATTTTGGTTTCTGATAATAATCGACGCTTGTGTCACAAATGGATTGATTCGAGTCAATACTTCGCTTAGCCCTCATATACCTCATACAAGTAAATGATATTATAAGAGTTTTGAACTTCAAACTTACTATACCACATTAGAATTTCGTAAATGATATATAATAAAAAATGTATGAAAATTCCATACACACGCACTTAAACAGTCGAATATCTCGAAAAGTATTAATGATAACGGTTTTGACCTCCGATCTTTTTTTGTAGCAAATAAAATTTCCTACTCTAGCTATTGTCATTTACAAGATATATTAAAAAAAAAAATGCGAATTTCGTGGAAAAGTCAGGTTTAGAGCGCCGTACTACCTCGCCGGTGTGAGTTTCGACTTTGTCGCATTTTTGTGGAGTGTTCAATTCTGAAAAATATGTGTTCAAAGTCAAAATGATGCTATAAAATTCCTCTGAACTATAGAAATTTAAAAATACAAAGTCACGATTGTCCTGTATTTTCTATGGAAAATTTGTACATGACTTGGTCCAGTCTATAATGTTAATATTAAGGACTAAAATTTTCAAAGAATTTTTTTTAGGATATTTCCAGGGAAATTTCATAATGGGATTGAAAAAAATTAATAGTTAAAAAAAAAAACAAAACCCTTATACCACATATTGGACAATGCGTGAGTTTTTCCATCAAATGGTTCTAATGACATTGTAACTTTGTGCAGAAAATGGATGAAATCGGTAGAAAATTTGAACTCGCCTCCATATAACTGATATTCAGGTTTTTAAAACGTTCAGCTGACTTTAGTCCATATCATATATGTATATTCATACCACCAGCTGCTGGTGCTGGTGCTACTACCGAAAAGAAGGAATACAAGTAAGTCAAAAAGAAAGAGTCGGAGTGATTTTCGTTATGCTGAATTCAATCCAAAGAATTTTTCATACTGATTAAGGCCGTTGCCATTATTTTTATATATAAAAAGTAGGTGTCACGTTGTTTGTCCGCAATGGACTCCTAAACTACTGATTTTGGTAAAACTTAGCACACTAGGAATCAATTTAAATTATGGGATAGCAAAAATAATCCATAAATAAATAATAAAGTGAAAGCTCTATTAAATGGACATCTCCATTAACAATGGACATTGTTGATGTTTATTAAGTACAATCTATTAAGCGGGCAACAATATTCACTGGACAGAAAGGCAGGTAACCAGTCACTGAGAAAGCAGCCTTTAATTCGTAATTTCTTCAAATTAAATTTATTTATATAAACATATTTAAAATTAAACCTCAAGTATAATCCTTTGGATTCTTATACCGACATAAACGTTTTCGCCTAAAACTTTCACTGTATTGAATAGTTTATTATATGAACAATAGTATAAAATCTATCAGCAGTACCTATAAAATATTTACAAAAAACATGTACGAATAATGAATGAATCAACCTTAGTGTATACGACTGAAAATTACGTAAGGCCACATAATCTTTTTTTTTTTTTATAAAATTCAACAACGATTTTAGCGGTCAAAAAATGTTCAATATCATTTTTATAATACATTTGTCTTAAGCTTCTAAATAATCCATAGTTTCTGCGATTACCTCTTCAATGGCGCTAAATTTCTTTCCAGCGGGCATTCTCTTGAGGGCTGAGATCACGACATAGTCTCAGCAATTCGAAGCTCAATTCATGGATTTTGCCATAGTTTTCACTGATTTGTAACACGGTGAATCATCTTGGTAAAACAGCGCTTTGTTTTTCACTCGGCTGCCTGTTTGGACTCCGGTGTGAAATTATGTAGGCATGTTCCATCCATAATCACATATCAATAGTTCGGTTTATTACAATCCAGAGCTACAAACACTCCTCATAATCAGCAATTCGTTGTTATTTTATTGAACTTCACAATAAATACATTCAATACATTTTGAATTAATTTTATACAGTTTTGATATTTTTGAATTACCTACTGACGTTTTCAAAACCCTTACATAACTTGGTAGCTCAGTTTTCTACAACTTCATATAGCTGTCAACAAAATTTTCTAAAAATTTCATTCGACTTGTAGCGGAGAGACCGAGCGGTAGCATTTATTTAAAAACGTATTTTATTTTTTTACATAATCAACTTTTTACACCATCCCGTGTATATATATTTTAGTATATTTTACATAAAACTTGTAATTTTGCACGCTATAGACATAGTGCTAGGAATTATTTAACGATACTAACAACAACGGCAACAACATGGCGGAAGCTACAAGTCAAGAGTTCAACAAGAAGACTTTCCTTGAGCATTACTGGCAAAAGCAGAAGGAGCTCACACGGCGACAGCGTCAATATAAGACGGTACTCTCGACGAAGTTGAGCACGCGCAAGGAGACGATCATGTTGCAGAGCTACCAAAACACCATCGATCAATTGCATTTGGAGAAGGATACATTGCGTGCGCAGATTTGGGTTGCCAGCGGTGAAACGCATCGGCG